TTCGAGCGCTGAGGCTGGTGGCATTCCAATTTATTTGTGGTGTGTGGATTCGGGCAGGCATTGTTGTCTCCATCACCACGGGGTAGTGTGACTTGTGGGTGGGTCCATAGGGAGCACTACGGGAGTGAGGATAGAGGTGGCCACACTTAGTGGACTGCTGTAACGAGGGAGGCATATGGATTTCGGGCCGGTGTTAGTCGTTATCCTTGGCCGCTGGTAGTGAAACTTACGAAAGTTGTTCTCCGAGCGGGGACACTACGAGATTGAGGGAGGTGGTCTTGGTGGCCACAAGAGTAAAGGAAAGGGATTACTGTTGATGCATGCACTGTATTTCAATTGAAATGTTGTATTAAATGTTGTCTTAAGTGTGGAGTCATTCAAACTCCTGGGTCTGTCTCTACTTTCACTGTTTACTTTTCCTCTACTTCCTGTACTATTTACACTATCCACTCCTATTTCTCTTGAAAGAGAAGTGATTGGTCACACACTTCTCACCCCGCTCCAATCCGTGGTTACCATCGAGGGTACACGGATTCAGTGACTGGTCTACGCTTTGGGAAGACGCACTGGGAGGGACCCACCCTTCCTAGTGGCAGTCGAGCATTGTAGACGTTCTGTTTCATTTTCCTTTACCTATACTTTGTATATGTTTTTATACGCTTTGTATAGGGGGATATGGGACAGGAAACGAGTAAGCCCGCTAGGGGCTGGCTCGCGTGTGATTTAGTTGAAGATAGAGAAGGTGAAGAACTGGTTAAAAATGTTGCAAAGATTGCTAAAGTGTGTAAAATTGCTGTGCCTTCATGTGGTAGATTACAGCCAGAAAGCTGGCGTAGATTACTGACAGAGAAGAAAGGCAAGCTTACAGATAATGATTTATTGCGTACTGCTGAAGCATGGTACAGAGTAGAAAGGCTATCCAGCAGGAGGGTTGGGTAGAGGAAGAGATAAATCATAAAGGGTTAAGAACTGTATGTATATCATAATAATAAATGTTGTGTTTTTTGCTTTGTAATGTAATTGTCCTTCTGTCTTGTTACTGTACAGCGTTGACATGGTTAAATTCGTGCTGGCAGGCAGTCTCTCTCTTGTTCCACTCAAATCCCCCTCTGCTAAAACACCCCCCCCCTCCCCTCGCTTCTGTGAGACGCGGGGGGGAGGGGGCGGAGGGGGGTGGTGACATGCTTGCGATTTAGGTCTGTCTCTTCGGTGTTCTGTAGAGTTATTATGAACAAGAAAGTTACAATTACTAAAATAATCCTGCTAATGTTTCCTTATATCAGAAAAGTGTCTGTGACAAGTGATGGTTAATATGTAGAAAGGATATATATATACCGATTCACGTGTTAAGTAACAATATGTATTAACTTTGTGTACAAAAAATTGATAACATGCTCAAGTCTTCCACAGTTCAAATTTTTTTTGCCGAACAGAATTACTTCTCATTAAACCATGCCTCCAGAGACTTTAGTAATTAGAAAGGAAAACATTATAGAACAAAGAAGGTTGTCCTTAAGTGCCTTCACTCTGCCCTTAGTGAGGTCATATCTGCCCATATATCGTGTCAGTTCTGGCCATCCATGGCTGACGAGATCTACTCCTATCATGCTCATCCTATCTTAAGACATGCTGTCTTCCTTAATTCCCACATATTATGAACAAGAAAGTTACAATTACTAAAATAATCCTACTAATGTTTCCCTATATCAGAAAAGTGTCTGTGACAAGTGATGGTTAATATGTAGAAAGGATATATATATACCGATTCACGTGTTAAGTAACAATATGTATTAACTTTGTGTACAAAAAATTGATAACATGCTAAAAGAAATTTCTAATAAACAAAGATTTCTTGAACAAATGGTAATACAATTAAAGATTGGTCTCAAGATGTTTTGATCTAATTGAAAAGAACCAGAAAACATTATGAGCCTAACTACTAACAAATTGATAAGGGGGGAGTGTGTTCCAATCTGTCTTTATTGGATAATGTTAACCACCAAGATTAAAGACTGACTAACATATTTTTTTAATGTAAGCCCAGATATTTTATTATTATATATGCATAGAAGTCGAGACTTTAGGCATTATAGTGTATTGATTCTAGATCTGTTACTAGCAGCAAGTGCTTAGCCTTATGCCTATCCCACGCATGCTTAAACACTCCTTTACTGTGTTAACTTCTATCACTTCAGCTGGAAGGCTATTCCATGCATCCACTACCCTCTCAGTAATGTAATACTTCCTGATAGTATTTTTATTTAAACCTTTGTCCCTCTATTTTTGAGACTATGTCCTCTTGTTATGGTAGTTTTCCTTTTTTTAAATATAGACTCCACTTTAACTGTGTTGATTCCCTTTGTGTATTTAAATGCTTTTATCATATTTCCCCTGTCTCGTCTTTCCACTAGGCTATACATGATAAGATCCTTTAACCTTTCCTGGTAAGTTTTATCCTACAATCCATGAACCAGTTTAGCAGCCCTTCTTTGAACTTTCTCTAAGGTATCCATGTCCTTCTAAGGATATGGTCTCCAGTACTGTATACAGTACTCCAAGTGAGGTCAATGGCATGAGCACTTCCCTCTTCCTACTGCTAATACCTCTCCCTATGCAACCAAGCATTCTGCTAGCTTTTCCTGCTGCTCTATTACATTGTACATTGTCATTAACAGAGAGAAACTGGAAACCAGAAAGGATAAATTAATGTATAGCTAAATGTAAAGCTTAACAAAACCTCCATTATCTTTTTCAGGGATAGCGTCTGTCTCTACGAGCAAAAGTCTGGTGTGGGAGATGTAGTGGACTAGCCACTGCGGGATACCCACGGAGTGAAGCGTTCGAGGCCTGTACAGACAGATGTGCTTGTTAGCCTTTTATTATTTTTCTCTAGGGAAAGCATAGGGCCAGTTAAAAGTTGTTGTACATGGGCTATTTGCAGCCTCCATTGCATTTCTACTTAGTTCTGATTTCTGATGTATCCTCCACTGCTACATACCCACGCCTCCATATGGAGACCTGTCTGCTCCCTTACCTGCCCACCCCTGCCTACTCCTACTCCTCCTCCTCCTCCACCTTCTCCTCCTTCTACTTCTCTCTCCTCCTCCTTCTCCTCCTCTTTCTCCTCTCCTCTACTCCACCTTCTCCTCCTCCTACTCCTCCCTCTACTTCACCTTCCACTCCTCCTCCCACTCCACCTTCCCCTCCTCCTACTCCACCTTCTCCTCCTCCTACTCCTCCCCCCTCCTCTTATTCAATCCTACTCCTCCTATTCCTCCTTCTACTCCACCTTCTCCTCCCTCTACTCCACCTTCTCCTCCTCCTACTCCTCCCTCTACTTCACCTTCTACTCCACCTTCTCCTCCCTCTACTCCACCTTCTCCTCCTCCACCTTCTCCTCCTTCTACTTCTCTCTCCTCCTCCTTCTCCTCCTCTTTCTCCTCTCCTCTACTCCACCTTCTCCTCCTCCTACTCCTCCCTCTACTTCCCCTTCCACTCCTCCTATTCCTCCCTCCCACTCCACCTTCCCCTCCTCCTACTCCACCTTCTCCTCCTCCTACTCCTCCCTCCTCCTCTTATTCAATCCTACTCCTCCTATTCCTCCTTCTACTCCACCTTCTCCTCCCTCTACTCCACCTTCTCCTCCTCCTACTCCTCCCTCTACTTCACTTTCTACTCCTCCTACTCCTCCCTCCTACTCCACCTTCTCCTCCTCCTACTCCTCTCTCTACTCTACCTTGTCCCCTACCTGACAACATTATATTTAAAAAAAAAAAAAAAAGTTGCTCTGGCCCCTCTTCCGCCACTTCCCAGGGGGGAATACCACACTAAAAAAAAATAAAAAAAATTATTATTCATACTGTTTTGGGCACTCTCAAGGAAATAGTGCGGTCCTGACCCAGATTCCCATGGAAGTAAGACACCTGTATCATCACTGGGAGGTGGCTGCCCCTCATGTTTTCTTCACTAAGTCCCCAGAAATCTCATAAAAGGAACCTGACTCAATAAAACATGAAACACTAAAAATCGATATCAGCTCTCTACAGAGGGGGGGGGCAGCAAGACAACTGTAAATGGAAAGACAAATACCCTCAATCTCACACAGAAATAGGTGAGGATATCTCTTCTACTACTCCTCATGGTTGCTTTGAACAGATGAAAGAAGAAATAAGACACCTCTCAACAAGGCATGCAGTAGCTTTGCCAGATCCTGACTCCACTCTGTTTGCGGATGAAGAGGAAAGGTACCATACTGGATTTGCTGTTGCTACAGAAGATCAGGTACGTCAAGCATCTTTACTTTCCTCACCCACATCTGCTCAAGACACCAAATTGACAGCCTTCTCAGTGGCATGCAAATTGTTTGTTTCTGAAAGACAAGGCCATGCAACAGGAGTGCTCACTCAGGCCCATGGTCCTGGAGGCCGCCAAGGGCCTATTGGATTTTTCTCCTGCCAACTGGATATTGTGGCCAGAGGACGTCCCTCTTGCCTTCGGGCCGTCTTTGCTGCCAGAGAGCTCATTGAAAGAACTGGAGATCTTGTCCTTGGCCACCCCCTGGTTGTCTTGGCCCCCCATGACATTTCTGCCATAGTCAACCAGGTCCAACTTAAGCATGTTACTCCTGCTAGGCATCTTCGCCTTCAATGTCATCTTTTGTTGCCTGACAACATTACCCTCCAAAGATGTCAAGTTCTCAATCCGTCCACTCTTCTGCCACTCCCTGAGGGGGGTGTATACTACGGATTCATCATGGACGAAACTTATGTTTTTCTTCTCACTGGCACCATCAAGAAGGAAATGCATCCCAACCTATCCTTTCATGATGGACAAGCACTCCTTCATGACGGAGCAGGATATGCCTTCTGTACCATGTGGTACAAATCAAACATCACTCCTGAAACCTGCTATGAGGATGAACTCTATCATCTGGTCGAAGTAAAACTCACTGCACAAGACTTCTACTGTGATTCTGAAGGCAACAGTATGGTCTTGATTCATCTACCTCCGGAACTCAAGCATTTGTACCGTCATTGGGACACTGCCATTCCACATGTCCCTGTGACCAAGTTGAAAACAATATCATGGAATGATCTTGGGCCTATGGCAAAAGCATGGGCCACTATGGACGAATCACAGCTACAGGAAAATGGTGTTGTCAAATATCCAACAACTGACCACCTAAAAGCATGGCCGCGTCATTTCCTGGAGAATGAGTCCCAAGATTTAACCATAGTGAATGACTACGACCCAGATACACCTCATGACTGTTTTGAACAGATGAAAATGGAAACAACACATCTACCAACTGTACATGAAGACCCATTGGTAGATCCCGATCTCACCCTGTTTGTGGGCGGCTCAAGATATGCTGATGAAGAAGGAAGATACCATACAGGATATGCCGTAACCACAACAGATGAAATTGTCAAATCATCATCTTTACCATCAACTATGTCTGCACAAGAAGCTGAATTGCAAGCCCTGACTTCAGCATGCAAGATCTCTGAAGGAAAGCGCGCCAATATCTACACGGATTCAAGATATGCACTGGGCGTGGCTCACGACTTCGGATTAATTTGGAAAACAAGAGGATTTCTTACCACCGCCGGTACACCAATCAAGCACGGTTCCGCAATCAAGGAGCTGATGGACGCCCTCCTACTCCCAGAAGAAGTGGCTATTTTGAAGATAAAAGCACATGGGAAGTTGGACTCAGATGAAGCAAGGGGCAACCATCTAGCTGATCAGGCTGCAAAACAAGCTGCAAAAGAACCACAGGAAGTGGAAAGAAGAGTGTCCGGAAATGAAGAAACTCCCATATTTACTCTGCAGACTCTTCCAACTGACCTAAAAATCCTGCTGGAACAACAGGCTACAGTTGCCCCTGAAGAAATACAGAAGTGGAAACAGAAAGGGGCAGTTCTGAAGGATGGAGTGTACTCCAACAACCTCAAGTTCTGCCTCCCTAAGAATTTGTACCCAGCAGTCGTACAATGGGCACACGGACCTGCACATTTATCAAAGGATCTAATGAATGCTCTTGTACAAAAATACTACCTCATTGTCCCTATATGAGATTCTATTTGGGACTGCACCTAGGCTAGGTTGCTATTTTCCCCAACAACTACAACTTCAAACTGATGTCTTAGTAGATTATGTAACTGAACTCGCAAATGCCTTAAACAAAATCCATGCCCAAGTTTTCTCTTCAATTCCAGATCCTGATTCTGACACAGGCAACCACAGTCTGCTCCCCGATGACTGGGTTCTGGTCAAGAAATTTGTGCGAAAACAGTAAATGTCCGTTCCAAGTTCTCCTGATCTCCCTACCTCTGTCAAATTGGCCGGAAGGCCTAACTGGATCCACGCTTCCCATTGCAAGAAGACACCTGCCCCAGAGGAAGCTAACTCTATGCAACCATGTGCCTCTGGTACATTATCTCCTTAGTTGGCCTCCTTAAAGCCCAGCAGGTGGCCATCACCAAAGATGCTAGTGGGTACACCTTCTGGTATAATTCATCATGTACCCGTGTGGCTACTTATACTTTTGACTACTGTGACATCGTAGAATGCCCATTCCCCACGTCACAGATTCAGAATATCTATAGAGATATCCCTCATTCAAAAGACCCCTATGTTTGTGTAGTTGACAAACAATGGGGGCACAACTGTAACCATTGGGGGGCGGCGGGATGGAATGCCGGGCCTGCCTGGGGTTACAAACCAAAAAGTGTCTTATCTAAAATTGATGATCACGGTAGGTCCCTCCTCCAGAGAATGACTCTGAGAAAGCCCGGAGGAGGCATACCTATGAAATTAATCTTAAACATTGAGCATCCCAGCCCAACGGATGCAGACCAGTATGTAATGGGAATGTACTGGAAGAAGGGTTCCTATAATAAATTAGGACATTTCCACCTTAAAGATATGTGCCACTCTCCTGAGTGGAAAGGGACCACCCACATGGTCTCAAATCCGTTGAAACCACACATCCAATCTTTTAAAGACATGATGGCCATTGCAAATCCAACATTTGAAGATACCATGGCCGCTGAAACAGGTTTCAATGATGTTAATCTATGGTTAGAATGGATAAAGAATGGTGGGGGGAGTGTACTCTGGCTAAAGCAATCATGCCCATACATATTATCTCTGACACACACCCCGATACTCATGAGTCCAAACACTCACCAACCAAGGTAAAGCGTGAAGCCCCAGTAAAAGGCAGTTTTGACCCTCATATTTACATTGATGCCATTGGGGTACCTAGGGGGGTGCCCAATGAGTTTAAAGCCAGGGATGAAGTTGCTGCAGGATTTGAATCACTTTTTACCATAGTCACTGCAAACAAGAATTTAAATTGGATAAATTACATCTACTACAACCAACAACGGTTTGTTAATTACACCAGGGATGCCCTTCAGGGTTTGGCCGAACAGTTGCAGGCTACGTCCCAAATGTCATTCCAAAATAGAATGGCTTTAGATATGATTCTAGCAGAAAAAGGAGGGGTATGTAAAATTCTGCCTGACACCATGACATGTTGTACTTACATCCCAGAAAACACAGGCCCCAATGGTAAAGTAACCTTAGCTATAGGAAAATTGAAAGAGCTCTCTGAGGAGCTAAAGAGGAACTCTGGGATAAAAGATCCCTGGGAGAGATGGTTTGGTTGGATGACAGGATGGCAAAAAGCTTTGATGCATATTGGTATAGCAATACTAATTTTCCTTTTTATCTTTGCTCTTCTCATTTGTTGTGTCCTCCCTTGTCTGAGAAAGCTCCTCTTGAAGACTGTAGACCAAGCGGCACCCACTTTCGCACACCTCACAGTTGATGACCAAGATTTCCAAAAAGTCAACTCGCCCTGTATACCGCTACAATCTATCCCGTTTATTGATAGAGTGCAAGAGTTCTAGGAAGGGACCAGCTTAGGGACAGCATCTGTCTGTCTGGGAAGTCTACCGTGCGGAGATGTGGTGGGTTAGCCACCTCGGGATACCCATGGAGTGAAGTGTTCGAGTGCCCAGCGGACAGATGAGTTAGCCAATTAGGGACAGACGAAGGGACAGCTTTGCACTTTGCAATAACACCTAGCTAGCGGGTCACGGGGTTTCTGTGCCTTTGGGCTAACACGTCTTCTGATACTAACAAATAAAGATTATCTTTTAGAATCTAACATTTCATAGGGGGGACTGATGTAGAATTATTAAAATCTTTATTAGAACCTGTATTGAATTATTGTACTAACTCCATTTTGTTCACCTTACATGACAGAATTTCCTGACAGTATTCAGTATAATGAATAAGAGATTGTATTCTCTCTCTCTAAGGACATAACTAGCCCCGGAGTTAGCGGATCTCCGTTGACTTGCAACATAGTATAATCCAAGGCCAGGAGAACAGTGACAAAATGAAATGTTCTATTCATAAAAGAACCTTGGAACAGACCACGAGACTGACATCACTAACTACGTAAAATGACGCCCAAGCCCCCCTTTCCACCGAGTAAGCCTCGTGCTAAAGAGCAATGGCGACGACATCCCATGATGGGAGGGTGCCTCACTAGTCACTCAAATCTCTGAGCCAATTAATAATATTAATGGGTGGACACTGACATAGCCACTTAACATTTAACCCAATTAATGATGTTTATTTGTTATTATCTGATATTCAATGATGATGTCATTTTGCATATAAAAAGGCCTGCGTGCCCGCTTTTTAACTAGATGCTAATAAATTTCCTGAAGTGTTTTTAACCTGAACTGCATGTGTCAGTGTGAACTTACTTCTGCGTATACGCAATTTATTCATCTCAGATTTGGACAGGAACAGATAGACTTTTAAACATTTTTGTTTATTTCTAAATTAATCTACATCACATGCGTGCATTTACTATTTTTGTATTATGTAAAAACAGCTTGCAAAGTCTACAGATCTCTGGTCTGCAGCCTTTGCAGGGCCTTAGCTTTAATCCCGGCCCAGACTTTCTATGGCTGTCCAATCACAGACTTCCTAATGCAACTCAAAGAGAAGGGTGGTGTTCTGGGCACATGCCGCCTCTTGAGTTTAGTTCAACTGAGTAAAACAAACCAGGAAGTAACAAGATTGGTTGTCTGATTGACTGCTGAGGGGTTAACAAGGTTAATTTATAAAAGTGCCAATTTCTCTTGAAATCTGCTCTTTTTGTGAGAACTAAAAGAGGACACACTTTTCACACATAAAGCATTTCAGCATGCTAAAGTGCTTTAGATGTGTGGAGTGTCACTTTATCAAATATGTGTTGTGAGGTCTGAAAAATACAATTAAATGCAGAATGAATACCATTGTATTTGTCTCTACCTTTTATCCAGTGCCTCCATCTTGGCTCCTCAGAAAGGGGTGATCTGCGAGACTGACTCAGGAAGCCCCATGTACAGAGCGCTACTAACGCACTCTCTCCATGGTTTTAGTGTCCTGTGCCTCACGCCATTGTCCTGCATTATGAAATATGCCCGGTGTGTCAGTTTAATCGTTGAGTTGCACATTTCAGAAAGTGAGTCACGTACCGAGACAGGAGCCCGTAAAGCGGTACTATCCAAGCAAAAACAGGACAGTTGGCAACTACGCATCATTGAGGAAAAAAATCTTCCTTTATTTAATCCCTCAATTTAGCAAAATAAAAACAAGAACAAAACAGCAGTTGTGGTTAATAAAAGAGGGGGAAAAACATGTTTTAATATTCTGCAATTTGCAGTTTAGTAAATAAACCCCGGAGAGACTGAGTGCCATATACCAGAGTCGTAAATCCTTGTAGATAGATTTCCTGGTATTACATAGATTTTTTTATTACGATCATCTAAAATGGTAAAAAGTTCAGCCCTTGTTTAAATATAAACATGTTTTGCTCTTCGAGTCAATCTGTTTCACTGGGTTTTTCTCATTTAACCTTTGTTTCCTATAAACATAAAAGTTGATTCCATAACGAAGACTTTGTCGGCTGCAGTGGGAGCAGCGTTGCCAGACTGTGATTGTAACGAGGGTCAGATGTGAAAAATGTATATTTAAATCTGAGCTGCAAGAAAATGTAAACCTTAAAGGGACACTATAGTCACCAGAACAACTACAGCTTAATGTAGTTGTTCTGGTGAGTATAATAGCTCCCTTCAGGCATTTTCATGTAAACACTGTCAAGGCAGTGTTTACATTGCCCCTAGAGACACCTCCAAGTGGCCACTCCTTAGATGGCCAATGGAGGGGCTTCCTGGCTCAGTGCTGCATAGTAGGCAGCTCTGCCGTTCAGCGTCTCCACGCTCAATACGGAGCATTTGCAAGGCAGGTGCTTTTTGCAATTACTGCCTCTTGGACCTGTTGTCTGGACCTGTTGTCTGACTGACAGCCAGGGGGTGTTACTACATTAATTTAGAAAGGCCTCAATTTCTATTGAAATCTGGACTTTTTGTAAAATGAGCTAGGAAACACTTTTCACAAGTTAACAGGCTGAAGTGCTGTATGTGTCTGGAGTGTCCTTTTAAACAGACACTACATGCACCCAGACTACCTCATCTCAATGCAGCGGTCTGGTTGCAGTGTTAGTGTCATTTTAGCTCTGTAATGTAAAACATCACCATTTCTTCCTGATAGCCACTAGAGGTGCTTCCACTGTAAGAACCGAAGGCATTCAGAGGAAGTAATGTGTGAGAACCGAGTCTGCATTAGATTGGACGAGACACCTGCCCAGTGACATTGCAGAAGGAGGATTGGATGGCTAAGTTTCGTTGTTGACCAAAAGGTAAGTTAAAACCCTTTTTAAAATTTAATTTGGGGAGCTCCTGAATCTAAACGGTGATAACTCTATAATATTAGGAATACATGTTAGGACTACTAACGCTATAGCTTATATTTGCCCTTTTTAATGCCCGTTGCAGCCAAAATGCTTGTCTGCACTCTTAACATTTCTCATTATGGCTACACCAACCGCTGATGGTTTGACAAAAATCCTCCTGATAGCGAACATTCCGTAATGGAGCCTCCGCTTATATCGCCTTCCTGACCACCCACTCCTCCCACACCTCACTCCACTGCCAATCATTACACTGGCTCTCTATACGCTTTCGTTCAAAATCATAACTCGCACCATGATAGTGCCCCAATATACATATCCTTACTAAAAGGTGTATACCATTGTACCACTGCCAAAGACTCTCACCTGTCCTCTTCTTGCACCAAAAGATCTAGGAGATCTAGGATTTTCAATATTTTGTTTTCATATGCCTATATTGATCAAATATAGTTTTAATCTAAAAATGTGTACTAAATAGAAACCTTCACCTCTTCATCCTGCAGCTGTGTGCATCCATCTTTGCACCTGGCAATCAGCATACAGAAATCATACAGAAAAGAAGAGAAATGAAACAATGTTTCTCCTGCTCATTTGTATTCTGTGCCCTGGCTGTGCCTTGTCTGGATTGGATTATGATTTAATTTGCTAAGTCTTTCATAAAAATTTTAAAGAAAATGGAGCAACGTACGAAAAAAAGTCAACACACGTAGATGATTTTCAATCAAAGGTTTAATTTCTAGACAAATGACGGTACCCTTTAAAATCCAATTTCTTTTTGAAGGCAAATCAATTAAGCAATTCATTTCTTTATATAAGAAACTATATAATACATATAACAATGGTTTCTCCTTTGAATCAAATGTACCATTAGCTTCTCTTATAAAGGTCACTATAGCCCCCCATATCACCCCATCTCATTGGAGCTTGGACTGGGTGTCATGCCCCTGTAGTTCTAACCTCTTACATCTGAAAACATTACAGTTTGCAACCAACGCAATAGATGTTCTTTATCCAAGGAGAGATCAGACTGCCATTCTAGGGGCAAGAAGGGGTGTTTTCCTAGTTTGTTGGAAAATTGGAAGCGCTTCAAACTGGGTTTTTTGCCTTCTCCTTGGATCAACAGCAAAAACAGATGTGAGAAAGGCTGAACTTGATGGACACGTCTCTTTTCAGATATGTAACTATGTAACTTTCTTGCAGTAAAAATTAAGCTGTGATGTCTTCCAGTTGTCCATTGCACCTAATGCCCATAACACACATTACATGGAAGAAGATTAGTAACTGTGAAAGTACTAGCTCACTAATTATTTTCCCACTGCTCATTTAGAGGAGTGTATATCTACCGCCCCCTAGACTACAGACATGTAGATGAAGGGTTTTACCAGGAGCATTGCAAATTTGCCAAGATGGAGAAACGTTTGAGTCTTCAAATTTCACCAATGTGCCTGTTTTGTCAAATATCCTCCATCCT